TAAGTGTCATGGAGGTCAGAAGAGGGCTTCAGATTCCCCTGGAACTGGAGTTAAGGATGGTTCGTAGCCGCCACGTGGGTGCTGGGAATCGAACCTGGGTCTTCTGCAAGAGCAGTCAGTGCTCTTAACTGCTGAGCCATCTCTCCAACCCCTATTTTATTTATTTTTATGTGTCTGAGTATTTTGCCTGCATGTCTGTAAGTGCACATGTGTGTAATACCTGCGCAGAGGCCAGAAAAGGGCATTGAATCCCCTGGAACTTGAGTTACAGAGGTTGTTAGCTGTCACGTGGATGCTGGGAACTAAATCTGGGTCTTCCACAAGAGAAGCCAGGGCTCTTAACCACTGAGCTATTTCTCCAGCCACTATTTGTATTCATAAATATTTTCCATTTTGTATCTATAACCTATGTATGTCATTGAGGTATTAAAAGAGTTTAACAATTTAGAAAGCTTTACTCCCTATCAAATTGGGTTTTTTTGTAAGATTTTATTTATTTTTATTTTATGTGTACAAGTGTTTTGCCTGCATGTATGTAAGTACACTCTTGTCATGCAATGCCCCTGAAGGCCAGAAAGGGGTATCAGATTCCTTAGAATTAGAGTTACTCCAGTTCTCCAAGTTAGGTTTTTGCTGTTGTTTCTTTTATGAAATGAAAGAAAGACTAGCTATGCTCGCCTAGAACTTTCTTTTTTAAGAAATGCTTAAAATTGTCCCAGGCTCACAATTTTAATTTTTGTTTAATTTTGTGCACCACTAGGTGCACACCTTTCATCCCAGTACATGGGAGCAGAGGTAGGCAGATCTCTGTAAGATCAAGGCCAGCCTGGTCAACATAGAGAGCTCCAGGTCAGTTGGGGCTACAGGAGATCCTGTCTCATAAAGACAAAAAAAAAAAGTTTAAAACTTTTTCTCAGCTAAGTGGTTGAGAGCACTTGCTGCTCTTGCAGAGCACCTGGGTTCAGTTCCCAGCACCTACATGGTAGCTAACACCCGTATATAATGCCAGTATCAGGGAGATCTCAGGCCTTCTTCTGGCTTCCATGTGTACCAGGTATGCATGTAGTGCACTAACATATATGCAGGCAAAACATTACCTACATATACATATACCTACACACATAAAAATACCTATACACATATAAATAAATAAATAAATAAATAAATAAATAAATAAATTTAAAAACCTTAAAAAATTTTTTTGGTCTTCTTCTCTGGTCTGCTTCTACACCACCATGCCTGTGTCTAAAAATTTTTTAAATTACATTTATGTACGTATGTATGTATTTGGAGAGATGTGCCTAGTGTGTGTTAAAGTCAGATGACAATTTCAGGAGTTGGTTCTCTCTTTCCACCAGGTGGGTCCCAAAAGATCAAACTCAGGTCACCAGGCTTAGAGGGAAGTACTTTTACCCACTGAATCATCTCACCAGCCTGGCCTAGGACTTTGTATGTGGACACGCTGGCCTCAAACTCACGATGATCTTCTTGGCTCTGCCTCCCCAGTGCTAGGAGTGCAGACTTGTGATCTGTGGTGCTTAGAGGTATAACATGTCATTGGAAATATAATGGCTGATGTGGTAATGTGTCCAGATATTCACAAAAGCAAGTAGCAACATACTCAGTAAAGACACTTTAGATTCAGGAAATGAGGACTGGGTCCAGATGAATTTCCTCCACCTACTGTTCAGTTGGTTTTTAGCAACTAGGAAGTACAAGACAGGTGGGGCAACTCAGTAACTGGAGTTCGGAAAACTTAAATTTTGAGGTCAGCATGTACATAGTCGCCCTCACTGTCCATACGAGACTCGCACCTTTGAATGTACAAGCCCCTATATCAAACTGGTGTAGTACTTGCATACAATTCACACAAATGCTCTCGTGTGTTTTAAATCAGCTCTAGATTACTTATAATAATGAACACAAAGTAAAATAGTTGTTATACTGTATTGTTTAAAGAACGGTGACAAGGAAAAAAAGTCTGAACATGTTCAGTAAAGATACAACTTTCTTCCAAACGTTTTTATCAGAGGCTGACTGAATCCACAGATCCAGAACCTGTGTATCTAGGGGGCTGACTATGTTGTATTTACATTGGCTTAACCGTCATTCTTTTGGACTACTGCCAATATACTACAAAAACATATGTTGCCTCCCAATGTACTTGAGCTATACATGTCAGTCCATCAGTTGGGAGTACAGATCTCAAATACCTATCTTTTTTATATTTTTATTTATTATTTTTATTTTATGTATATGAGTGTATTGTCTGCATGTATATAAGTAGACCTGTGTTGTGCAATACCCGAGGAGGTCAGAAGAGAGTGTTGGATCTCCTGGAACTGGAGTTATGGGTGGTTGTTAGCCGCCACGTGGGTGCTGGGAATTGCACCCGGGTCCTCTGAAAGAGCAGCCAGTGCTCTTAACTGCTGAGCCAACTCTCCAGCCCCATCAGATACATATCTTGATACAGTCTTTTGAAAATGTATGTATGTGTGTGTGTGTGTGTGTGTGTGTGTGTGTGTGTGTATGGCATGTGTATGTGCGTACCTGCAGAGACCAGAAGAGGGTATTAGATCTCCTGGAGCTGGAGTTACAGGCAGTTGTGAGCCACCCAACGTGGGTGCTAAGAATTGAACTGAGACCTCTGGAAGAGCAGCAAGTGCTCTTAACCACCAAGTCATCTCTCCAGCCTCTATGGTAGATAGCCTGTTATCTGACATGTGATCTCTCAAGTGAAATCTGACACAAGTACTAAAATGATGGAATGGTGAGAAGTGTGATTACCGCACTGATGCTCTGCTTTCTTTCATACTGAATTGGCATAATGTAGCCGAGAATAGACAGCTGGTTGATGACATCCTCCATGACTGCACGGATCCTCAGCACATCCAGGAGGGACAGTGGCACTATGACCTCTGGGACGATTTCCACATCTTTTTTATCTACTTCTTCTTGTACAGCAGTAGGAGGTTCTCCTGTCATCGCCACCATCACCTCAGAATGCAAATCTTTTGGAGGCAAGGTTGAAGTTTCCAACTTGTCCCTAAGGAAAACAGTAAGGAAAAATTAATGGCAAAAAAAATAACACAACCTCAAAAACACATATAGCATGTAGATCGGCTCCTGTGATGTTCATATTGTCATCTAGAAGAGCAAAATCATAAAAAAATACAAAACAAACAAAAGTAGGGGTATGCATGGGATTCTGCTGAAGCCCTTCCACTTTGCCCAACCAACATCACTTATTGGCAGATAGATATGTAGCCTAGGCTATCTGGTTATGCCTATGCAATTTGAATTTGAGGCAAAATTAACTTTATTTTAAACATCATATTTAGATGTTAACCAAGAGTGTCTAATGATTACAGTGAAAGGGTCAACATGGTAGGCAGCCTCCTAGGTGGCCCAAATTATTCTTTCTGGTATTTATGCCCTTGTGTACTTTCCCAGAGTACGTAGGACGAACCTATGAAACCAAAAGGATTCTGTGGGATTAAGAGTGTGATTCCCAAAGCTAGGTGGTAAATAACTGCAATTTCTACCTCACTCACAAGCTCATTTTGAGGGAAGCAAAGTCCCTTGTCATGGGGACCTTCAAGCAGCCTTACGAATTACAGACTTCTTACCAGCTGTCACCATTAAATAGAAAGGCCAACTGTATAACTGGAAGTGGGTCCTTGAGCCTCCATCAAATCTTAACATGCCTGCAGCCCCTGGAGGACTTCAACATTATTCAAACCCTATGGTAGTTAATATTGTCAACTTGACTGGATCTAGAGTCACCTAGGAGACAAAACTCTTGGCATGATTCTGAAGGATTTTTCCAGAATGGGTTAATTGAGATGGGAAGAGCCACTCTAAGTGGACTGAATAAAAAAGAGAAAGCAAGCTGAGACTGGCATTCATCTCTCTGCTTCTTGCCTGTGGATGCGGAGTGTGGCCACCTGCTCTCTGTTCCTGCTGCCCTGCCTTCCCAGCCATCATGGGCTCTACATTCAAACTGTGAGCTAAATTGCTGCTTGTCAGGTAGTTTGTCACAGTAATGAGAAAAGTAACTAATACAGACTCCAAACCAGAACCAGCTGGTTGCTGCTCCCGAATTCCTAGCCCACAGAAACTATGAAATGATAAAAGTTTATATTTTAGGCCGCTAAATTTGGGGGCAAATTGTTACAAAACAACAGATAATACGCAGAATTTAACTGATAGCATAATTTAAAGTTCTCTCCCCTCCCCTCGCATTTTGAACATACCCTTCCATTCTTCCTCAGTTAGGCCACCCTTCAGACTAGATTTATAATTTCACAAAAATGCAGTAACCTAAAATGGGAAGAAACACTAAGATTAGTTCAAGAGAATGCTGGACTCTGTTTCACATACTTCCATTACAGAAGTACAAGAGCTGTGGTTTACTCTCTCATGGTCCTTAGCAGAGTGGTCCCATGGGGTGCAGGTTTATTAAGTGGCTGGCTTCATTACAGATCCACCAGAACTGAACATATATGCAGTCTGTCTTTCTGCTTCTTCTTATGGTACATTCATGTCCAACAGAGTTTTAATGTTTCACTGTAATCTGATTTTAAATTGTTAATCTCTATAGAACAGATTTATTTTTGTTATTCTTTAAACTTTTCCTATTATTCTCATTTCTATATTTAATGATTCTGCACCCTTGATCAGTCAAATAACAGAATTTATTGTACCTTGACTTAGAAGAATAATTGAGATTACATTTGGAAAAACTGTATTAATCCTGGAAATCAGTAAAATCAGTGTAACACACTATGAAGTTGTTACTCCCCAGAGCTGGGCATGGTGGCAGAGGCCTATAATCTTCTAGCACTTGGAAAATGGAGAGAGAAAGATCAGGAGTTCAAGGCCATCCCTGACTATATATAGTTTGAGGTCAGTCTGAGCTATGAGACCCTGTCTTTGCTTGGTTATTTTTTTTTTAGATTAATTTGCTTTAAAAATATTTTGTTTTATATTTTATGTGTATGAGTGTATTGCCTGCATGTATGTAAGTGCACCCTTGTCATTGTAATGCCCACGTTGAACAGAAGAGGCCATTGGATCCCCTGAAACTGGAGTTATGGACAGTTGTTAGCTGCCATGTGGGTGCTGGGATTAGAACCCAGGTCTTCTGCAAGAACAGCCCGTGTTCTTAAACTCTGAGCCATCTCTACAGCCCACTGCTTTTTATTTATGTATGTATGCTTGCTTGTCTATATGTGCACCATGTGCATGCAGATGCCAGCAGAGGCCAGAAGAGGGTGTTTGATCCCCTGGAACTGGGGGTTGTGAGCTGCCTTATGTGTGTGCTGGGGACTGAACCTGAGTCCTCTGCAAAAGCAGTAAGTGCTCTTAACTGCTGAGCCATCTCTCCAGCCCCTAGACCTTGTCTTAAGAAAAACCAAACTGGGGGGCTGGAGACACAGCTCAGCAGTTAAGGGCCTTGGCTGCTCTTGCAAAGGACCTGGGTTAGATTCCCAACACCCACATGGTGGCTAATAACTGCTCATAACTCCAGTTCCAGGGGATCCAACACCCTCTTTTGACCTCCGAGGGCAATGCACGACTCGGGCGCACTTATATACATTGCACGACTCGGGTGCACTTACATACATGCAGGCAATACACTCATACACACACACACACACACT